TACTGCCTTTTGGCTCTAGATGACCCATGCAATGTTTGATTGATGCCAAATTAACAGAAAGCCATCTTTGATGACCAAAGATGACATAAATGGGATTTAGTTGTAAATGGTCACAGTGCCCCCTAGATGGGTTCAAACTTTTTTAACTTCTAAAGACAAGGTCAGAATGGCATTATACTTGGCTTGTGTCATCACGTGACTGCACCAAACACATTGGTGTGGTTGTTGGTTCAAATCCTTTTAGCTCCGCCCCCTTTCAGCTCTCTGACTCTATAAAGCACACTCAATGTCTGATTGACGCCAAACTAACACAAAACCATCTCTGACTCCCTAAGAGGACCTCAACAGCATTTTTATTTAATTGGTCACAGCGCCCCTTAGATAACTTTAACCTTCAATAACTTAAAAAAATGTGGTCAGAATAGACTTAAACTTGGTCTGTGTCATCACACCACCAGTGTGGTAAAAATAGAGTATGCCCTAGTGGTGAGATGTGTAATTTATTGGTGGGCACAGACGAGATGCTGAGTCGGGGAGAGGTGCGGATGAAGAGACCGTTCACGGTTTCTGGTGTTGGGGTGGTCGACGTTTATGTTCCACGGACGTGACCGGGTGCACCAGGCTGCCGGCCTGACCGGAGCAGTGCGGAGCTGCGAGGGCCGAACAATGCTGCTGGAAGCTTTAATTATTATTTTTTCTTTCTTCCGCATCTTTGAATGACTTTTTGGGGGTCTTATCATTTCCAAAACTCACCAAATTCTGGCCCAATATAGAAAGTGCGTGAAATTTACATATTTCAATGGCGATGTGAAGGTTGCTAAAAAAGTAGTTCGACTGCGCCCCCTTGAAAATTAAAAATACCCCTCCGCTTTGACCTTTTTTTATATCAGAGTGATGATATTTGGTACACTTGTAGAGCTCAACAATATGCACAGAAAAGTCTCTTGCACCCTTGGTCAACATCAAACAGGAAGTCGGCCATTTTGGACTGAATTAGCGATTTTGACCTCGTTTTGGTCGTTTGTAGGGTCTGTATTTGGTTGAACAGTTTGGTCATTTTTCGCACGATCGTCTCAAAAATGGTGCGCGATCGATCAGAAGGGATGGAAATTTTAAATGAGAAAATAAAACTGACTTTTCATAAATACTGAAGGGGCGGGTCCAGGCCTCGAAGTTCGAGCACTCGCCAAAAAAATTCAAATGGTTATAATTTCATAAATGAAAGAATTACAGTTAAAAAAAAGTGTGGACATTCCTCATCAGCCCCCAAAGAAAAATGAATGGTCGATTGATGATTTTACACAAGCCCCGCCCCGTCAGGACTAAAAAGGTCAAGTTTTACTTTGAAATTTCCCAAAATTTGCCCATTCAAATAATTACCACAAACTTGTAGCAGATAACTGAAGACAAGTTGGGGTTGCTGGGCCTCACTTTACGGGAGCTTTCAAAAGACAGCGCGGCTGTGATGGCGCGGCAAAGTCAGGCATAACGCCATGGCCATACGGTTGCCTCTCATTTAGTCAATTCTAAAGCTATCACCACGAAATTTCTGATGAGTTTTCTTAGTATGATCCACGATAAAATTTGAAATCAAAAGTCGGTAGGCGTGGCCAATGTTTTGAAATAACGCCCCTAGCACCCTTAAAAGTGCCAGCCCCAAGCCATGCTTTGACTGAGGATTATGAAATTGTGTACACTTATGTAGTGTCTCAGGATGTACAAAAAACTCTCTTGAAGCCATGCTCAATAGAGCTCCGGACGTCACGTGACTCTCAGAGAGTAGACGCCATAATGGCAGCCAACAAATGTAAACAAAATGAATGTGATCGGCTTGGATTTTACTTCGTCTGAGTTTACTTCACACTTTAAAACCAAAGAAATTGTTTTATATAGTCAGAAATTAAATAGACTAAACATCTCCGACCCTTACCGTGCCCCTGGGATATTTTTTAAAAACGCCAGAAGCTGTTGGAGCGGACTTCTTAACGGACCTGGCCGTGGAACGCCTTGGGATTCCCCCGGAGGAGCTGGTCCAAGTGGCTGGGGAGAGGGATGTCTGGGCCTCTCGACGCTACTGCCCCCGCAACCCGACTCTGGATAAGCAGATGAAAATGGATGGATGGACAAATAACATAGATTTACATGTAAGTAGTTTAAATAGAGTGCTGTGCTGTTTGAATGTATAAACTGAACGCCAAGAGAAATCACTAGTTAGATTTTTTTCCGTGACTAAAATAAATATGTCAGGCAGGAATGTCTCAGGATCTGTCAGAGATCTGTCTCGGTGAGAGATAATAGCAATCCAAAGTGCTTTTTTGTGTGTGATCTGACAATTGATCAACCATTGATTAAAAATTAAATACAGCTTAGCCGGTTAATTGCTGTGATCATAAGACACGTAAACGGCAACACGCAGAACTCATGAGGCAACGTTTTACGTGACGTTTACTTGTTGCTATGAGTAATAAGACAGAAAAAGCCACGCCAAAACAAGTTTAGGAAGCCCACTAAGAATCGTAATAAAAGCATTTAAAATAAATACCATACACAGTTGAGGAAACGTTGGTTTAAGTACCTGATATGAAGCGGTCGCTGCATAAGTGAAAACCTTTACTCTCGGGATCCCACAGTTTCATTTTAGCCCGGTCACTAGCGCGTTTTATTACAATGATCCAACGTTTGTGGCGCTCCGGATCTTGGGGAATCCTGTAGATGGCTCATTCCTTATGTCGTCCACGTCTGTTCTGCATCCTGGGGCACAACAGGAATCTACCATATTTCCCTTTTGATTGAGTTTTCTGACAATAACAAATAGTACAGCTGCGGGCTTCTGCCTGCCAATATGGCGTGGTTTCGATTTGAACTGTTGCATGCCGGGAGAAGTGACGTCAACTCCTGGAGCTCTATATTCCACAGGAAGTTGGCCATTTTGGTCCAAGTACTCCATTTTGTGTTTTTTGCACGCTTCAAAGGTACGTCAATCTCCAAGCGCCCTTTGCCCCCATCACCTTCATACTTTTGCTGAAAATTCTTAAGACCACGCGGGAAAAACTGAACACAGATTTTGCAAAAGTCTAACGGTGAGGGCGTGGCTAGGCCTCAAACTTTGATCTGTCACCACACCATGCTTTACTGTCAATGCTCCCAAATTGACTCTTTTAACCTAATCAACATGCATCTCTGGCAAATAGCAGTAGAAATGTTGGGGTCACTTGGTGTCCAGTAGTGGCAGGTTTCAAAAAAGGGCAAGGCTTTGGGGGCATGGCGAATTTTGACATCATGGATTTACGTTTGCCTCTCATTTCCTCAATTCTGATGCTATCGGTCCAACAATTCAGGTGATTGATACAAATCCAAACCTCAATAAATAGTACCCTGAAAATCTGGTGGGCGTGACTTAATCTCTTCACTAGCGCCCCCTAGGTCCAATAAAAATGTCAGCCCCAAGTCTTGCTTTGACTGAGGATTGTGAAACTTTGAAAAACTTATGTAATGTCTTAGGACATACAAAAAACTCTCTTGAAGCCATGCTCCATACCCCACAGGAAGTCGGCCATTTTGGTCCAAGTATGCCATTTTGTGTGTTTTGCATACTTCAATCCCCAGGCGCCCTTTGCCCCTATCACCTTCATACTTCTGCTTAAAACTCTTAAGACCAAGTGGGAAAAACTGAACCTAAAGATTTTCCAAAACTCTAACTGTGTGGGTGTGGCTAAGCCTCAAACATTGACCTGTCACCACACCATGCTTATACTTTCAGCGCTCCCCATTGGACTCCTTTCATCTATTCAACAGCAATCTTTGCCAAATAGCAACACAAAAGTTGGGGTCACTGTGTGTCTAGTACTGGCAGGTTCCAAAAAAGGGCAGGGCCCTGGGAGCATGGCAAAATTCGCCATCACGCCATGGAAATACGTTTGCTTCTCATTTCCTCAGTTCTCACGATATCGCCAAAAGATTTCTGGTGAGTGATCCTAGTCTGACCCTCAATATAAATAGATGTCATAAGCTGGTGGGCGTGGCCTTTTTCTGAAATAGCGCCCCCTACGACCATTAAAACCCCAAGTCATGCTTTGACTGAGGATTGTGAAATTTTGCACACTTAGGTAGTGTGCCTGGGCCTACAAAGAATTCTCATGGAGCCATGCTCCGTATCCCACCAAAAGTTGGCCATTTTGTTCCAATTGCGTTGCAGAGTTTCTTTTGAAGCTGGAATATTTTGCTAATGTAAAACATTTTTAGTGGGGACTGTTGGCAGGCTAAGAGGAAAGGTTGAGTCAGATTGAGGTGACAGCTGACAGTGATCGCAGTTAAATGCACGCTGGGGTGTCTGACGCGCATGGGCGCTCCTGCGCCACCAGTTGCATGGCGATAAGTTGGGAGAGCGTCGGGGATGGAGTGGAGGGGGCGCGGACGGAGGGCGAGCAGCTTTGCAGCGAGGGCCGAACGTGCTGCTTGCAGCTTTAATATTTTTATTATTTTTCTACTTCATTTTTTTTCAGGTATATGTGCTGCTGTAGTGAATTTCCCCATTGTGAGATTAATAAAGTCTATTCTATTGACTTGTGACATGAGATGAAATGTATGTTGCATGTATGAAAAAGAAACCTTTTAGTAAATTATTTTATCATAATATAACTTTTATATACCCCAACACACACTCACACACCTGTCTATTCAAGAACAAAAGACACAAATAAGTGAAGAATCTCAACACCTCTGTTTATTATTTTTGTTGTGAATAAGACTTCTGCACCCTCCCGTCCCTGCAATGCCTCGACTGCATTGTTCATTAATGAGTTACACGATGTTAATAGTTGCTGTTCGTCTGAATCAGTCAGACTCAGTCTGACTGATGTGCCCTCGATTCCAGGCAGCGTGCTCTTATGCCATGCTGCTTTTTTCCCCTCTTGCATGTGTGTGTGAGCCTCCTATCTCCCCCTCAAGCCTACATCACCCTCCCTCCCTCTCTTCTCTCTCCATCATCACCCCTACCCCTCTACTTCACACATACACACACCAGTCCCACCTCCCTTTAACCAAACTACAGCGGAGCCAATTCAAGCAATTCTCCGCAGTGCTGAAAGAGCAGCGAAGTAAAAGGAGGAGAAAGAGAGAGGAGTGAAGCGTAGGGAGGAGATTTGGAGGCAGAGACGGAGAGGAGTGAGGAGCAGAAGCGGTGAGAGCAATTTTAGGGAGTAGAAAATAAGAACTGGAAATTTTGGTGCTCGGGCTTCTCGGCGTTTCAGGTCTTTGCTCCACAGGGTGAGTATCCTCCTCAACAAGCACAGATCATTTGGATTTCTACAAAAACAAACTCTCTGCATACATTCTTTCATTCTAGCATCTGCTTTCAAATCACTTTGAGCTTCTTTAGTCGAGCTCTTCAGGCATCTTTGCGCTTGTCAGGACTTCTCGAGCTGCATGGAGAAATGATGCTCATGCAGATAACCAACCATGTGCTGGAATCACATTGGTTCCATGCTGCTTTAATGCTAAAAAAAAATCCGGGAGGTTATATTAGAATAGAAAAAGTGTATCTGGGTTGAGGAAAGATGTGCACCGTTTTGCTGCTCTGCTGGGCTGATTACCCAAGAATGTGCTGCGGTGCGTTGGGGAGCAGCTGGCTGCAACGCGGTAGAGTACAGTCTCAATAGAGTGCGGAGAGCAGCAGAGGAAAGCCGCTTTGCTCTCTGTGACGCCTGCAGGAGAGAGGAGGAAGGTGGTGAGGAGGAGGAGGGATGAGGTAAAGTGTTAGAGGATAATGTTAGTGCGCCAATGTGTGAAAAAAACTAGAGGATTTGAGGAATGAGGTAAACATGATAAAAAATAACTCCTGGTCTGTTCTCGGGGAGCCCAGAAACTGTTCCAGCACACTGCAGCACTCCTATCATCTCTCTTTATTCTCACTAAAGGTGTACATGCGTGGTTTTATTGGTGAAAAGATTTTACCAAATTTCAGTGGTGCCCCCAGAAATGTTCACATAGGGGGCCAGTGGACATTTTGGGGTGGCATACCAAATTGATCCTTGTGGTAACTCCGTAGGTGTGCACGGCACTGCACTGCACTGTCAGTCTGTTCCATTAAAAAACAAAAGGCCTATCCAATATATTTATCTCAAAAGTGAGAGACAAACATTTTATAAAAATGACAAAATTTCTGTTACTTAAATTATTTATTAAATGTTATTGTTTTAAAACTTGTAAAATAGTTTAATTACTTATCTGTTTGAAGAAAAAATATCTACAACAGCTATTGGGATTTCTGTTTTTAGTCACAGAACGTTGCGCGCTAGGATGATGTCGACGCCAAAACAACCAAAACAAAGAGGAGACTCTGCTCTTACACCAGAAACAATCTGCGCTCTTCGAGCTTTATCTGTTCTTTCATAATCCTTTGTTGAATTGTGATCAGCAGAAGCTTTTCCGGTTCGCGCCTCACTTTTTTTTACAGCAGCGGCCCAAAACGATCTCCTAACACATGGATTTCGGCTTCCTGATCACGTGACGTGGAGTGTTGCCAACTCAGCGACTTTGTCACTGTTCCTAACGACTTTTTGACCCCCCTCAACAACTTTTTTTCCAAAAAGCGCCAAGCGACATTTCTCAGGACCCGTTGCTACTTTCTGTAGAACTTTCATGTAGATATTCCCCACAGATTAGCAACAAAGAAACCATTTGCACTCTGAACCGTTCTTCCGGGAGTAAGGAAAGAGAACGATAATCTGCACATGTGCCCGAGGACTGACCAATCATATCCCGTTTTCGGCCAGTCTGATTCGCTGAAGACAGAGTACAGCTGCAGAGCTGGAGACCGCCGATTTACGTCTGCTGCTTTCATATTGCTGCAGGCTCACACTTCTACTAGAGACGGCGCGGGCGTCAACCTGCGACCTCTGGTTCTGCAGCCGTCAGACACTTTGGCTTTTCCTGCATTTGGCAAATACAGTCATCGGGAGTTTCAACTACCGTCCTGTTTACACACGCAGCTCTGTGGCTCATCTGAATTTCCTTCAGTGACACAGGGATGGTTATACTTTGAGACACCCGCTCCCTTTTGCTCGGTGCGCCGTTATTATCACGATGGAGAGAATACACAACAGAGAATTTGAGAAACTATGAGGCGTAAAAAAACAGCTTTTTAGGAAAATGTCTGTGAGAATGAGGAGAGCAGGAGGTCATATCCTACAACAGAACTGTTTGGATCACTACACCATATCTGTCTTAATGCCACTTTATTGGTAGTTTTGGAATTTATTGTACATATCAAAGCAATTTGTGCCATTTTAAACATACTAATTAATAACTGTAACATATAACATAGTTTTTATTTTCCTTCCTTTGAGTCCTATTTTATATATATATATATATATATTAGATGCTATGGGGAAAACGAACGCTAATGTGGCGTGATGACGTCATCAATATGTAAATTAGCACGTGACGTCATCTGGCGACATCTAGTGACTTTTGGGGGGAACTTCAGCTACTTTCAGTCAAAAACAGTTGGCAACACGGGTGACTGATGTATGCGGATGAAGATCGGCTTTTGAGCTGAGATGTTTGTTCTCACGGTGCGGGGGCTCGTCCGACGCCCACACAGTAAAAAATGCAAATGACCACTTTAGTCGTCATTGGCAGTGAATGAGTTAACTATCTTCTTTTTTCTCATTTAACACAGTGAAGTAATTACGTTTCTTTAGCTTTGGCTGACATGGTGTGGCTGGAACTTCCGCCTTCGTCAGAGCCGACATCTGTCCGTGGCGTCACTTCCGTTTGCTTCCTGCACAGAAACGGAAGTGACGCCACGAACCACCAGTAAAAGAAGATGAGACTAGTTATGAACTCCAGGAGTCAAAGGTCATTTCCAAACGATTTAAAATGAAATTGGGTTCAATGTAAATAGCTGTTGTTGATTAAGAGGTTTTTAACTTTAGTAATTCATGAGGATGTGGGTGAGTTAGAATTTTGTGTTTTGCACAGATTTTGTTTAACCAACCCTCAGCTAGTGCTCCAGCATATGTATTCATCAACTGGTTCATCTGCAGACCCGTGCATGGGGCAGTTAGTCCTTTCATGGATGGGAACGTCACCAAACACCCAGATCTTCATGTTTATTTATACATTTGTTTTTGTCTTGTTGAAAACTCTCACCTATTTAGTTAAAGAGCTTTTTCTGCACATTTCAGAGTTGTAAAATCTGCTGCAGTTTCTCTGTCTGCCTGCAGTGCTCACATGCACCGCTAGATGCCATCAAGTGTCTCCACCCTCCTTTTGAAAAATCTCTTATATTTAGGCACTTTAATTGTGCACAATTCAAGGTGAATAAACCACTTCTTCAGTAAATCAATAAATATTAAAACAAAATGGGTCAATCTACGAATGTGAAGCCTGAGAAAGAGGCCACAAGAAAAATATTTGGGTAAAAACTTAATAAAACAATTATATGTTTCTGTGACGATGAAGTCACATTTCCTAACAAGAACACAAAGATCAGTTCAACCTTAACATTTAAAATGGGTTTAATGGTTAAGATGAATGAGGAACTTGTCATTTGATTACATGAGGAAGGCAGACGCCACGTAGTGAACGACAGGAACAGAATCATGGACATCTGTTTAGTTAATTAAAAACACGTCTGAAGATCGGCTAAGTGCTTTTGTAAGAAGGGAGGTAAAGTCACGGCCAGCTGCTTTCTGAAATTCGCTTGTTTTAACAGCTGATTGATGTGTTACTCACAATGGCAGGATCCATGTCACCCAACAAGCTGTGAAGCTTTGCAGATCCAGCAGAACCAACACATCACCTCTGTTAATGGATCTGGCACCTGACAGTAACTCAGAGTGAAGGCCCAGTTTGAGCATAAACTCTAACTGTTGTTTGGCAATAAATAAATAAAGACTATAAATAAGAACCAGAATTGTCTTGGGGTACACCACAGACCTCAGTCTTCAGTCTTGGTGCTAATTGGGCAAAATTCTGACTTAATTCAAAATCAATTTGGTATATATATATATATATATACTTAAAAAATAACTGCAATTTATGTGCTAAATATATGTATATGTATATATGTATAAGTATAACATTACATGGCTTCCAAAAGATCAAGAACCCACAGTGGAAAACAAGTATTGATGTCATGTTAATATGTCAGTCTTAATTAATAATTAAATCTTTGTGACAAAAGCTTAACTATAAGGAAGTAAAGCCACGGAAAACACAAGTAATGTCTTTGAACTTGATGTTTTCCATTAAATGTGCAGAAACTGAATGTTGTTCAAATGTATACATTTCAAATTTGAGTAAAACACCTGTTAGAAGTCTTGTAAATGTTATGGTATATTTAGGCCAAATGTATTAATATAGTGTAATTTTATTTTATTTATTTAACCATTTATATTCATGGTTGTTGTTTTTTTCTCATGGTGGACTTAAAGCTGCAATATTTAATCTTTTGCAGTCAAAAATAAACAAGTTAAAGCATAAAAATAGTACCATGATATCGTTTACTTAACAAGTTTTAGTTCAAGGATTTTTAAAATTAAATTGTGATGTTTTCAAATAATATTAAAGGAAATGTCAGAATAACTTAACCAAGTTTTGTCACCCAGTCCTACTAAAACTAGCTGCTTATATGTCAAGAGTAATATATATTGTCATGTTATAAATAAGTTTAGTGGAACTACTTAACATAACTTAGTAAAGTAAAATATTTTTTCTTACAGTGTTTTGTGTATAAAAGTAGAATTTATAGGGATTAGAAGAGCTCTGCAAAGTCAACTGAAAATAAAACAAAATTAAAAAGTTAATGCATCCAAGAAAATTGATCCTGTGATGTATTATAAAATGTAGTGGAGGGAAGATGGGTCGCAGTGTTTTAATGATGCACACACACACACACACCCCAGGCCAGTCAGAGCCAGATGTCACCACAAACACACATTTTGTAACGTTCAAACTTAAAAACAAAAACAGAATAGAGGAAGGATCATTTTTTTAATGCTTTTGCATCAGCAGACACACAAAGTGGTGCTTGTGTGTCTATGACATTCTGCATGTGTGTTATAATGTCTTTCTACAGTTTTTGGGCCAAGATCTGTTCTTGTAAACTCCTTCTCCCTAAGTTCTCTTTCCTCATTCTTCCCTCTGCAGATTCACATGACCGGCCCCACCTCCATTTTCACCGTCTCCGTGTGTTCTTTAATCAGCAGCATAAGCTAATTATCTTCATCATCCTGCAGACTGTAGGTCGACTGCTTAGC